TGAAAGGGCAAAACTCTCCATCATGACTTAATGTAATTTGTGATGCTTCCTCTGCCTCCTTACATTAAAAGGAGTGGCGAGAGAACATAATTGATGATAGATTTTGTTTAAGCTCATTTTCAAAGAGAAACCAATCAGATAAATTCAGAAAGGTCAGACCAAAACATGCAGATTCCTTAGTGAATATGTTATCTGCAGCCTCATAAAGAAGTCTTCCTTGTTAGTGGAGATAGCAGCAGTCCAAATCTAGCTGAATAATAATAACACATTAATCTATTAGGAGAAATTATTTCCCCCTCCAGAGGGAAATAGTGTGAAATGTTTATGTCTGCTGTGAGTAGCACTTAGCAACAATTTTAGTTCCTATGGCGTGGTAGTAAGGTGGAGGACTATAGACTGGAATTGCCAAGTTACCATGGTATGTTTACATAAAAGCTATTTCTTCAAGTCAGTATGTTTGAATGAGCTGCTGTTACAGATTGCTGTGTCCTGTCAGCACTTTCTCTCCCCTGGTATTTGGCAGAAAGCAAAAAATTCAAAAGCACGACAGTTGCAGAGGAATTGTCAGCCCCTGAGCGGTACCTTTGACTTCTTCCTTTGTATGCCTTCCAAGGTGAGAGGATTCTCCGTTGGGCAGCAGTCACACTTAGTTTGGTGTTGCCATGGAAAACGGTTCTGATTATTTTTGTCTGGTGCTTAGGGATGTGATGTTTCTGCATAAAGACATTCTTCCTCCCTACATCTGCCTTTCCTCTCCCTCTCCGACAAAAAAAGAGTATCCTTCTCTCCATACAGATCTATAAGGGCAGCCCAGTGTGTCATCTCAACATTTTTTTCTCTAAGGCATCATGGGTGTCAGACAGACAGTACTTAAAAAATGAACTATCATTTGACATCTAAAGTGTACTAATGTACTCCCGTGCTTCTACCAGTGGAAATAATGCAAGTAGGCAGCATTGCAAGGAATGTCTCACAACCTAAAAAGTATTTTATTTTTTATGAGGAGAGCAGAGAATTGCGAACAGATCTGTGAGATGGCAAAAATGAAGTTAAATTGTGTTTAGTACAGATTTATAGGAATATGGCTCTTGCAATATGATGATGAGATAAATCTGTTCTCCATAATTGTAGTGACACAATGGGGAACTTTATGAAAGCTGAGGCCTTTTCAGGATAATTAAATAAGTTAATTTGCAATCTGGAGAAAGCACCAGCTGGAGTGTAATGATTCATTGAAATCTCAGAGTACTGCTCCTTCCATGGATAACAGGTCTGTTTTGGTTGTGGAAACTTTCTCCCTTTGAAAGCAGATGCTTTCTATCTTATCCATTGGCATTGCTACAGCTGTTCTAAGCACATACTTAGGGTAAAGGGACCCAAGAAGCATCCTTTTCTTTCCAGATTTCTGTGTAAGGAACCCATTCAGAGGCAAAACCAACCCAATTGTCCCCACAAGAGGAAATGTTTGTTATTATTTTATTAATTGCCTGTATAGATCAAGTTCCTCATAAGATGAATGGTGATTATTGAGAATAAGGTTCATAAAAGCAAGTGGGTTCATAATATAGTATAGATTAATTTCTTTTCTTCTGGGTAACAATGGTAGTTTTGGGGAAAAATAAACGTATATGGTAAAAACAGGTTAAGAAGTGTGGCCATGGCAATTAGGATCCTCTCGCTGATAAGTCTACTGTAGGAAGCTAAGGATCAGTCAAATTTTTCACTGGAAATACAGAATCACAGAATGATTGACACTGGAAGGGACCACTGAAGTTCATCTTGTCCAAGTCCCTTGTCAAGCATGGCCACCTAGAGCCAGTTGTGCAGGACACAGCTGTGTCCAGGCAGCTTCTGAATGTCCCTGTGAATGGAGGTTTCACAACCTCTTTGGGCAGCCTTAAGCTAACTCAAGCTTAGAATCTCAGTTCCTCAAGCAAATCTTTGTTTGTGTCCTTGTGTATATATGAAGAGAAAAACTAAGTATTTATACCATGTTATGTTCAAGAAAAGAGGGTTTTTTTAGGAAGGAATACTCTAGCTGATTTCTTAAGGAGTCCACCTCATTTCAACCTTCATTTCATCCATGTCATTGGCTGATACTTCATGTCTCTTAGCAAAGCTCAGTTTGTTTTGCAATGTGAAGCATTTTTAATAAGACATAATATTTCCAGTTCAGTACCACCAGTTCAGACCTGCAGTCTATAGGTAACATTAATTCACTTAATATCTTGAAATATCCCCTATCTAGCTTAGAAATCAAATTTCAGTCATGTCATTGAGATGGTCAATATTGTAAAGATTGTCAGATCTTTTGTCATACTGCTTGATAAGCATTAACTGACCCAGACCTGTGTTTGTCTCCTGATTATTTATCCTTTCATATCTTTACTGCAAGTATTCTTTATTTGACTTGAACTACAAAAGACTTGTGCTGTCATCTACAGAAATCCCCTAAAATGAATGTTTATATCCTCAAAATCCTTCTCAGTTCTTACTGAATTCTAAACATTTAGATGCTTTATGTTAGCAAAATCCTTAGCAAATTGAAGTATATGCTTCTAAGCCTTCAGAGAAGCATTTATGCCCTGACATTGAACAATCCATTGAGAATTTTAGATACGCAATCCTATATTCATTTCTGTGAAATTATTCCTAAATGGGATAAAGTATGTCAGCATGCACCTTAGCATAAAAAAGTATAAAAAAGCACCCTAGATTTAAACAGAGGATATTTTTTTTCTAAGGTGGTTATAAAAAAACATGGAAATGCGGATGAAAAGTGTGGGATACATGGCTTCTAAAATTTCTTCTTGGAGAATCCTAGGATCTTTTTATTATTTTTTCATTATTATTTCAGAATAATGAAAACAGAAGTTTGGCTTGGTTCCAGGTCAGGACAACAATGGTGTGCCAAATATATGGCACACCATTGGGTTTGGGTTGGGTTAGGGGGGGCTGTTTTTTTTTTTTCAACCAGCCAGCTCTGTTAGTAATGAAAACAGCAGAATAGAGACGTTTACATATGAAGAAAAGGCATGTGGGTTTTTTAATAAGAGAATAAACCTGATTCATTGTTCATATAAAGTGCACTTCAAACAAACCAATCAATGAAGATTAAATGAGGAGTAACCGATAGTCCTGAAAAATGCAGAAGTGGACATAATTTCACTTAGGTTTTCATTTCCTTTTAGAGGTTATTGACTGAACACCTCCTTGGAAAGCAGAATACAGTATCATCAAAGAGGTTTCCAAGATTGTCTCATTTTTAATTGTCTCTTTCTTTTAGAAATGGAACTGAGCCTATCGAGTTTTAAGAGAACTTTAAATGTCTAATGTCGTTGTTTTTGATTTTCAAGTGATAATCCATGCATATGCTCACACAGTGAGAGAGTATTAACAATGTCTAATGCTTGAAACGGAAGTAATTTTTTCTTTGCAGAATTCAGATAATGTATTCACTTTGTTTCTTGCCTCTGCCACCTTCAAGCCTGTTTTCTGTTCTACAGTCCCTGTTGGTGGTGGAGCTGCAGATATATTAAGTTTTTCAAAAGACTGGAAGACCATTTTATCATTTTACAACAAGTTCATCAGCTGAGGACCCTTCTTCAGTTTTTAAATGTTGAACTACATATGGCATGTGACCTTCCTCATTCAAATGCTGTCTGGTCTGTGGCAGTACACAGGTGTCTAAGAAAGCATCTTTCACCACCCCTGCTCCTGCTACAGGCTGCCTCTCAACCCACATTAGGTATGAGAGAATGCATTTGGGAGATGGGGTTGATTTTGGTGTTTGCCAGAGCTCTGCTTCCTCACAACTAGCTGAAGACTCCCCATTCTCTAATCATAAGGCTGCTTGGCACCTCACTGCCCCGACAAAAGCCTCTGTGTTTTGTGGTCCCACTGCAGAATGTACATGTGAGTTCTAGTGCCTACACACCTTGCTGACAGACCGTACACAGTTTGCAAGTCACTCCCCTGTCCCTTAATGATTTCTGGTTTTCAGACCATAGTCTTTCTGCAGTGGTGAGTATATTTAGAGGGATGTCAGTTCTTCAGCCTTTGCACCCCAAGGCTCTTCTTGTGACCATATCTTGCTTTGCTTCGGGCTCAGGATCTTGCTTGTTTTTTCAGCTCAGAATCTTACAGTAGTAAGGAGCTAAAGTCCTAAACAGGAATTAAGAGTTTAAATATTTCCTTAATCTTATGTGACATATTTAAGAAGGCTGCAAAATTGCTCATGACCAGAGATTTAATTACTTATATAAAGGCATTGTAAAATTTTGTGATCAGTTTACATACACTAAATTTTCACATTTCTTGTTCCAATATATTTTTAGTCAAATGTTCTTGAAATTACTGTTTAAAGATTCTTGTTAGTGTGAGGCAAGCTTAATGCTGTTTGTTGGGGTTTTTTTCTATACTTGATAACCACATGGTGTGAATGTCAAGACTGCTTTCTTCTTTAAATAATAGGTCAGTACAAAGTGATTAGTTTAGCTTCTTTCAAGAAATAAATTATAAGCTATTTCTAGGCATTTTGAGGGAAATAATAAGTATCACCTGGTGGGTTATTTATTTGTCTTTTTTTAAAGATAACTACCATCTCCCCAAATGACTAGAACATATAAACGAGTAAACATTTTTAAAGCATTTTGTCTTACTCATTTAACTGGGAATATGCTGATATTGGGGACTGTAACACGGTTTTCTGGAAGCTCATCATGGGACAGGAGTTTGATATGTCAGTGAATAGAAACCCAAGTGTAAATGCAACATTGTCTCCTGCTGGACGGAGTGTTTCATTGAACATGGTATCTCTTTTATTTGACAGCAGCTCAAGTTTGGTTCCTGTGGATATTGCTGTACTATCCTTCCATTTTTCTTCTCTTTTCTTCTCCTTTCTTTCACCTCTGCTATTTTTTTTCCTTCCACAAGAGAATCAGTGAACATACATATGGATTTTTTGCACGTAGTTCTTGCTTTCTTCTTTTGACTTCTGGCATTATATCCGCATGAGCAATTTTCACGTTGCCCCGTGGGATTAAGAACAGGAATAAAATACCCTCATAGTGGAACTCATAGTAGATGGATTCCCTAGAAGGGCTTATTTTCCTTAAATGACACCAAAACCAACTTTCAGGTTTTTTCTTCTGGAATGTGTTTTGCTCAAAACCCTAGGGAGAGAAGATATGAGAGGTTGGTGCATGTTCATGGGAAGCATGCTTTGCTTCTTTGCTTGCTTTCCAAGTTTGGGCATGCAGGGCATTTGGAAACAGTGTTATTCTGTAAAATGCTAGGCTGGCCTTAAAAGTCCAGCTTTTCCTATGTCCTGGAAAAAGCAGTTGATTTCCCTACAGCTGGCCCTTTCATTTTGAGTCAATTGTTACGAATCCTGTGCAGTTTGAATACGTCTGAATGTTAAAGGCATGAAATTCAACAATAAATAAATAAACCATGTTTCCAGTTTTGATCTTGGTAGCAGTACTGTCATTGGATGATCTGGTATGTTTTCAGGGACTAAAGTAATGGTCAGAGTTCAATTTGAAATTGTAAATTTAGTGAAGTCTGTATAAAAATTTTTGAGTAGTGTTTTATTAGCGCACAGAACACTCTGGATTGCTGTGTTAAAAATGCTTTCTTTAACTTGCTATGAAATGAAACATTTATTTCCTTTTAGGCCAAACCAACTATAAGCTCTTTTATTAATTTAAGAATGCAAAGAGAGAGGAGTATGGTATTGCTTTGGATCCTTGTGGAAAATATGAAGAGTATATAGAAGTTTTTTAAGAGAGGAGAAGCAATTTGTGGCTGTACCCTGGTAAGCAGAGCAGAACCAGATGGGGTTCTAGCTTTGCCTCGTGGCATCAAGATGCTTATGTGCACTGGTCTTCCACTTCACTGCTCTTGCTTGTTTTGTGTGATCTTTTTGCATAGGTTGCATGTAGAACAGGTGTCTGTTGTCACCTAGTACTGTGTTTATGCCAAGAGGTACTGTCTTAAATGTATTTAATGTGAGAAATGGGATGAAAGAGATTCTACAGTAGTACACAAAAGTAATTTATTGGTGTGAATGCAATGCATACCTTCTGTAATATAGTTTGGCTGTCTTTGAAGAAGATGAGATGAGATAGATGGTGACTGGAGAAGCTTTTGATTCTGAATGTTTTTCTCTGTTAAATAATAAAAAAAATCAAGTGTAATGTTCTGTTCAGCTTTGACTCTGTTAGAATTCCTTACCTGACTGGGGAGAAAGAGTACACATAAAGGAGAATATCTTATTTGATGCAATTATAGTAACAGACCTTCACTGTCTTTTAAAAGCAGTCAGAGTTCTTGAGAGTAAAAGTAGTGAAAACGTTTGGGGCACCAGAAATTTACATGCATTTTCTTCCCTGGGAATTAATGGGAGTATAGATATTCACTTAAATTGTTTGTCTTATATCTACCTAAATTATATATGTGAAAACTTAAAATTCCTGATAGTTTGAAACTCAAAATTGCTGTAAGCATAAAACACCTTGTTCACAAATAGACACTACCTTGTGAAAGTTTTGACTTTAATTTAAAAATATCATCTTCTTTGACAGCTAAATTCTAGTCATGGGAAGTTCTTGGGGAGCAAAATACACATGTAATATGTGATTTTTGCCCGAAAGCACCTTCCATAAGCATACATAATGAAACATTGCACAAATGTAACTTTCACCTTTGCGTTTCAGGAAAACCAGGTACCTCTGCTGAAACTCTTCTGAATCAAGAATCTATAAACCCTACGAATTACTCAAGCCAGCTAGAAGACTCTGGATGTGATGTCTCTAATGACTCTGCATTTGATTCTTTAGGCATAGCTTCAGATTTTCACCAATCTGAGCATAATGTCAAAGTTCCCCCATTGAATCTTTGCCATAGTAGCAAGGAGCAATCTCTGACTGCTCCAGTACAGTTTTTGCAACATTTGCTTGAAATAAGAAAACTGTCAGAAGGAGGAATTCTTCAAGCAGATTTCTCAGAGCTTGAGAATGATTCTTTCACCATATGCAATTCAGTGTCTCAGTTACTTGATGGACTGACCATTTTTTACAACAGTCCTAAATTTCCAGTTTCGAATTTTCTTACTGAAGCAGTTTGTGTTTTGGTCAGTTTAATAACTGATACTAAACTATCTAATCATGTTTTAAAAAAGTGTTTCAAGAAGCTGGAAGAATTTAAGAAAAATCTAATTCAAATTATTTTAAGAAACAGCAGTGTCAATAGGGTAAGTTTAAAATATCTTCCATCTTTCCTACCCCACTTCAGTATAATGGAATATTCTCCTAGTTTTATGCACTTCTTAAATATCGGTTTGCCTTATTATATTTCGAAGAATACCACTTTGAGATTTTTGTGATTGTACTTTTTTGTGATAGGGGCAATAAATGCTCTAAAGCATTTGAAACAGTTCTTGTTCATGCATGCAAGAAGTTCTATCCTGTTCCTGAGTATAGGTCTTTTAAGAACGGATAAAAAGGCAGTTAAAAGCAACTTTATAGAAAATATGAGAGAAAACCACATTGTTTCTCTTGCTGAAGATATATTGTAGATATTCACAAAGTAACGAATATACAATTATTTTTATTCTTTTTTGACCACCTAGATAAAATAGGTTGGTTTACTGCAGAAGGTCTGTCACTCTCTAGATATTTGCAAATTTCTGTTTTAAAAATAGATCAGCAAATGAGTGAAGAATTCAGAAATAGCACGTCTCCAGCACAAACAGTAAATAGCACTGCCTTGCATTTTGTTTGTACACATCAGTCAGTGCTGTTCCATGCACCATCTCGTTAGTTTCCTCATTCAGCTGAAATATGCCCGGCCTGTCTTCATAAGATGCCCCATAAGTAGTGGATTCCGTTGCCTGTCTTAGGATTTTTGGTTTTCATTCTGACTTTTAGAGTAACGTGGAACAGACATGATGGTGGTATTGTTTGAGACTTAGATGTACCAATTTAGTGTCCCCATGTATGCAACTGCACTATCATTATACTAAATGAGAATCCTCTATAATCCTTGGAACCTAAAGAACGCTGACGAGGTACTAGGTGCCTATTTTAAGGTGAGCTCCAAAGTTGTCTTTAGACATGTGCTGCATGTGTGGATGGATGTACCCATTTGCCTTAATTTGATATGAATCCCACTATGTATTGACTATTTACCCCAGAACAGAAACATCAAACAAACATTATTACCAAATTAAGAGGGAGTTGGCTGGGAAGGATATACCTGTATTTTGGTTAGAAAGCATTCAGAATTAAATCCTTCCAGGACTACAGCCTTGTGTCTCTAATACCAGAATGCGTTCCATTTCAGTGTCACCACAGTGTGATACTTAGTTTTTAGTTAGAGGTGTCCCTGGCCAGTATTTTGAAAGAATGTGTCTTTACCTTCTATTTGTGTGGCATCAGGAATGGAGTCATACAGGTGTGACTCCTTTTATTTTTTTGTGCGATCACTAGATACAGAACAAAGAGAGTTTGAGCAGTCCTTCATTGAGGACTTCTTCATAGTTGATGATGTCCAGTGTTTCCACCCTTTCCCTTCTTCTGCCCTAATGGGAAGTCAATAAATAATTAAAGCAATGTTAATTGTAGGAGAGCAATCAAGAGGTTATCCGGAGAGGGATTATTTGTTGATTGGAGGAACCTGGCAAAGTTTAAGTTAAGTGAGAGAAAATATCCTGATAGATCAGGGATGTTTCAACTCTGCAAAATGCTTTTTTAAATCATTTGGAGTATGTCCACGTAATTTGAAAGTGGTATATTTTCTCTGAATAACTTCACTAAAACAGATGGCTTTTTATGCGATGCATTATATCTTGCTTCCACCAAAATATTAACAGTCATATTAACAGTCATTACTATGGGCAGCCATTACCTGAATCAAACAGTTGAGTTTAAAATTGTATAAACCAATTAGTAAGGTATAATTGTGGAGGTTCCAGATTTCTAGGGGAACAGGAAAAAAGTTGTGCGTAGTAATTGCAATGTTTATAAAGATTAGTTGAAAAATCCTTTTAGAGGTTTGCTTTTCTTTAAACTGAATTGAATATGGAAATAAATACGCAGAATTCAGAATTAGTAGTATTAGTTGTATAAATAATTCTTCATATGCTGTGTACCAAATATCTCCCAGGGACCCTTTATACTTCAGTTTTAATCATCACTGTTTACTCAAGTGGTGATTGAACTGTCAAGATTATATGTTTAAAATAAAATTACCATTAATTACAAGGCTGTCATCTGGAAAGAGTGGCAAGCTGTGTGAATTTCAGTTCCAGGAAGATGCCTAAATCCCTCCACTATAAAAATATTAAGAATTTTGTTGTATCTAATCTTACTGCCAGAAAGCATTTGTATAGACAGCCATCGATACAGCTGTATAGTATTTGACACAACTTTACCATCCTCACCTATAAAACTGGGACAAAGGGCTGTGAGAAACACCTTCAAAAAGTGAACAAAGAGCAAAGGAGCTGTGGATTACACTTAATGCCTCATCTTCAAAAACAGTCTCAGCATTTTTCAGAGCAAGTTAAATAACTTAAAAAAACTTTGAGAATTGGAAAAGAGATAATTATCTCTGCATTAGATGTAAAGGAGGAAAAACAGTAGCAGAATTACTTGCTGTAATCCTATTGTTTGAGATGTTTCTAATTATAAAGCATTGGAAGCTGTAGGAACAAGCAAAGACATGTACTCAGAAATTTTTTTTCTGGATTCAGTTGCCTAAAGCCGTGCACTTTGGATACAGTTTTTGGCCTGAAACCCCAAATTGACATGAGTATAGGAAGGACAAAACAGTAAGTCTATCAATTAAGGTATGTGAGGTAAAATAAAAGGTAATATTACTTAAAATATAAAAATTATTTAAATCAAAAAACTTCAAGTAGCCTCTTTCCTTTCAAATGGACTCTACTACCTTCAAATGGACTCTACAAAACATGGGAAAACATTTCCCATGGAAAACTCTGGTAGAAGCTATGGTATGTAATTACAGCTCCTAACAAATTACTTTGTCACTTCTCCTTCAGAGAGGAAGCACTAGAACATTTTTTTCCTTAATCTACCCATTTGGAATTTGACAACACCTATCTCCATCCACCTCCACAGGGACATAGCAAATGTGCATTTCTCCTGCTTCTGATTACATCACTCACTCACTGATAGTGAAAGGTGCCTGTTCTGCTGAGGTTTGTCTCTGTTGTCCAGGACGTATTGAACAGGGGATCATTTCTCCTATACCAGAAAAATGCAAGTCAGAGGCATTGGGGATTCCCAACTTGCTGTGCTGCTTAGAATAGCATATGTGGTTTATATTTCTGGTGAAGGTTTTGCACAGCTCGTGACAGTAGGGCACTTCAGAGAGAACATCCTGGAGCCTGCCTGGAAGCCTGCTGTGGTGAATCTGGGCTGGCTGTAGTTTCATAGTGTATAGAATTAGCTTTAGAAGTCAAATCCATACAACAGAAATTAAGGCGTTTCATACATGTCATCTTTGCATCTCTTGTATATACAGCTATATGAAACTTCAAGACAGTTATTGTTAAGGAATCCAGAGTCTCATTTGTTACTTTGGAGATAGAAGAAAAATAGTTTTATCTTTGGCTTCTTTCAGTGCAGTTCAGCTATGTTCAAAGTTGTCATGGTCAAATACAGTCACAGGGTGTTGCATTACGTGGGTTTCTGTGTGTGACCCCTAGTGGTGCCACTCTAGCTTATTAGCATTGAAGACAATTCAATTCACTGATTGTACTTCTTTTAGGTGCAGCTCATGCTGCAATTTGGAGCACGGCTAATGCATCAATTATGTACCAAAAGATCCTGGTCTTCACCCTGGGTTCTGTACAGAGCTCTGTGCCTGTTTCTTGGAGGTCTTGTTTTAAGGACTTAATCAAACCACAAACACTGCCTTTAGGATTCTAGAGTAAGGTTGAGCTGTGTTGGGCTCCTGTTCAACAAACACCTCGTGCCTCTGGCCCATCTCACTCATAATCTCTTTCAAACAAGACCCAGAGGGAAGAGAGATGTGTTTCAGGGATATGTCATTTTTTACTTCTCGTGCTGTTTAAAACATCAATACTGACTTTTAAGAGTCATGAATTGCCTGCTTGATTCAAAGAGCACACACACACAAAAAAAGGATTATTGATATTTCCTTTCTCTTTTTTTAACCCTTTTCACTTTTGGAAATTGGCTACCCTACCTATAGGGTAGTTGTTTTGAAGCTATTTAGCATTAAGAGCATCTGGATGTACACTGAGACATGAACATAGTCTTTAGGAACTTATCCTATTTGGGACTTTACTGCCCATTTTCATTTTTCTCTCCTGTTTCATCTGAAAGTCTTTATGTAGAATTTTGCAAGTGCTCAAAATATTACTGTTGATATATTTAGCAGAAGAGGAAATGCAAGAGTTCTGAGTAGTAGTTTAATGCCTTTACTGGGTATTTATGTGAGAAAGAATTCATAATTCTTTATGAAAATAACAAGTTGAAATGTAGTACAGAGAAAAGCAGAAAGAAAAATGTTTGAATCTCATTGGCAATTATATAATGAAATATATGGAAGTGTGCCTGTGGAGTTGAAAACAGTACACATTAATCAGAACCCTGGCTTTGAATCTTGGTAGTGAAATTTGTATGAATCTTTAATGACTGAATTTGCCTGGAAGACAGTAATCATGAAGTTACTCTGATGCTTTACTATATGCAACAGTATGCATTTAATACATGTTCCAGCTGGTTGTGTGTGACAGTAAATTCCTCCGACTGTGTGTAGTTTGCACAATCTTTTGTCAGCCAGGACTGCCTTAACTCATCAGTTTACAGGAGTTTTGCCTGCTTAGGGACAAATAAGATTTAAAAATAGTTATTCATGTCACTGGTGGTTTTCAACTGTAAAATTAGTGGGCTTCAGTTTTCCTAAATTAGTTGAGTCCCAAGGGGACTGTCATGGGTATATTTTCATCAGTCAAAGAATTTTGCCTATCTAGTGGAAGAACATTTCATTTATATGAATATTAGAACAAGTTGTCTGGATTTTAAGGTCTAGTAAGGGTCAATGTTTGAATCTCTTGACTGTTGAATTAAATTTTCTCAGCAACCTGTTGTCTTACTTAGAGAGCTCTTTAAGTGAAACGTTAAGCAAAATCCATTGTCTTGTGAATCACTGCAGTGAAAGGCAATCGCCAAATTGACTGACTCTCATTTACTTCAGTAA